TGTTGCTGCCAGCAAGGTCACTGCTGGCCTCTACGTGTAGACATGAGCCATTTTAAGCTGTTTTTTTCCATGTATTTTGGATGCCTTCAACTCCTCCATGCTTTTGAGAAGTAGCCAGAGCCTTCATTACATCCAGCATTCGTCGTATTTCAGATCTTGAGCTTGCAGGGGGCCGTGGATGTATAGCAGTAGGTGCTGCTTGATCTTCCTGGTAGAAGAACAGCAAAAAGAAGCCATGAAGCTTCCAGCACAGAAAAGGGATTTGCGTACGCATTCTGCCTGCTCTGACCTTCTGGTACCCGTGGAATGGAGGGAAGGTTCCTGTGTCCCAGCTGTGCTGCTCTATGGGCTTGGGGTGCATTCTCCATGCCTCAAAGGCCCCTGCTTTGAGCAGGCCCACAAACCAGGCCCTAGGTTTCCTTTGAGGACTTTTCCACGGCTGTTTCTTGTACTAATGCAGCTGGCAGCACCAGCAGGGGAGGCTTAGAGGACGCAGGGTTGTTGTGGGAAGCTGTTGCCTACGGGTTGAGCCTGGTGGGTGCCTGCAGGAGGTCACCTTCGGAGCTGGTGCTGGTGTTTGTATTGTTGGGTTCCTTGAATTGGCCTGGGATCTGGTATTTATGTAATGCAGCGTGGCATCTGTATTCCAGCGGTGTGGGTACAGGAAGCAACTTAGTAGGGCTGCCTGCACTGGAAGTGAATCAGATCGGTACGGTTAACTTCAGCTCTTTCCTTGTTTTGCTGTTGTGCTTCAGAGTGGCCAAAGAACCGCTGTGGGGGCATTGTTGTGTGACCACGCGTTGGGTTCTGCTGAGGAAGCTCCTGTTGTGTATTGCTCAGAACCCAAGAATTCCTGCGTGCTGAGATCTCGCTGTGGGGATTTTCTCCTGGTGTCTATGGCTTGCTGTCCTGTTTGGTCACTGCTTGATGAGTCAAAGTGGGTCACCCTCAGCTGTCTTCCTTATTCATTGAAGGTGACCCACAAGGGTGCAGATTTGGGTGTTTATAGCAGGAGACCATTAAAAAAAAAAATAATGAAGGCCTCATGACAGCGTTCTGCTGCCTATTGAGCACTGTAGGTTGTGCTTTAAGTGAGGTTTTCTGACCTTGGGAGGCAAAAAGCTTGAGCCCGTGTTATAAAAATGATTACTTTTAACTTCTGTGGGATGCCATTTGTTCATTTAATTAATGAAATGGAGTGAAGAAGGAAATAAGAGCATGAAGTGTTCTGATAATCCCTGTAGGACAAAGAGCCCTGCAGCCCCTAAAAGCCGTGCGTTCATTTCATTTCTCTACCAGGAGCAGCAAAGTTCTCAGAAGCAATGCTTAGAGCTGGCGGCCTTTCCCTCCGCTTACAGCTGTCACAAGGGTTTGTGAGCACCTCCTGTTTGCCGTTCACACTTCTGCTGCAGTTGAGGTGTGCTTTTAATCCTTCCTTCTGCCTTGCCCTCCTCCCTTCCAGCAGGACGGTGGTGACTGAGCCTAAAAGTGCAGCAGATGAGCAAGGAAACACGCAACGCTTAAGGCTGCATTAAAACTGGAGCATAACTGCCCTAGATGAGCAACGATTTAATGATGTTTAACTGTTGAAATTCCAGATATCGAGTGTGACCCTTGTGCTCTTTCATTCAAAGAAGAACGGGGAGTAAAATAACCAATGCAAACAGCAATTCAGATTATTTTGTTTGCTTTACCTTCCAAAAGAGAACTACGCCGGCGTTATTTTCCACGTGGTGGTTGAAGGTTTGCAGCCCAGTTTTGGACTCGGTGCAGGCAGCTCTCAAGCCGAAGCTCAGTTCTGTGCCGTGCTGGGGTTGTGATACCAGCCTGGCGGATCTGCGTGCGCGGCTGTGGGCCCTGCTGGGCTTTTAGCAGTGCTGTCAGGGAGCTCGTGCGCTGCGGTGACCTCGGTCAAAGTGTGATTGCTGTTATCTTCCTGTCCTGAAGGAGCGAAGCCAGCTGACAGCAGCCTGACGCTGCCCCGTCCCACCTCCTGCGATGGCCGCTGCCTTTGGGTCACGCCGTGTCCTGTACGGAAGTCAGCAAGGTGCCGTGGCACAGCAGTGCTCCCATCCTGAGCGCCCAGGGCAGCACGGCGCTGCGGCTCTCGTCCTGAGCAGCCTGCGTGGGAAGTGCCAGCTCTTGATCCAGTGACAGCCCGGAGTCGAAGCTTTTGTGCGGCTCTGTGAGACCTGGGCTGTAATTCCATATCAGGAGAAGCTCTCTGGTCGCTTTGTGCCCTGTGTGAATGGAGCCAGCGGGATGCTCTGTTCTGCCTCCTCTCTGCAGGAGCTGCAGCATGGCCTCGAGTCCAGCCGCGCTCCTCCAGCCCCAGGCTGCCCAAAGCAGGTGACAGGGGCTGTGCTGGGAGTACAGTGGGATTGGTGCAGGGCAGATGGGGCACGTGGGCAGCGTGCCTGGTGGCAGGGCCCAGCCAGGGTGCCAGAGGAGCTGTGTTTGAGGAGTTGGGTGCTGGTAGAAATGCAGATCCGGAGCCTCTCCTGGGCGTTGCGGCTGATTTGGGCTGAAATCAAACGCTGTGCCTGGCAGGAATGAAAACAAGTAACGCGTTAGAGGTACGAGGGAGTTAATGTTCAAACAGTGCTTTGAAGATAAAATATATACTGCTAAATAGTTCAAGAAGAAAGGGCTGGAAGGCACCTGAAGAGGTCATCTTGTTTGTTTTTCTGCCCCAAGGCAAGAGCAACTCAAGCTCAGCCCTTTCTGACTTGTTTGTGCAGCCTTTTCTTACCAACCTGCAGCAAGATGTGCTCTGTATCCTCCACAGGTAACAGTCCAGCTCCACTACCCTGTCTGTTGTGGTCAATTTTCATTTAACCAAACGAGAAATCTACAAATGTACACCTTATCCAGCCCTGGATGATCCTCCATGCCGACATCACGGGGTGACGGGACCAGCTGTGTGTGCAATGCTGCAAGAAGGAAAGGTTAAAAATAAACCACGGGGTTGCAGAAGCTTCTTATAATGGCACACTGGAAGGAAGTGCTTGTTTTGAGTTATGGTGGTTATGCAGAAACCTCTGGAATTTGCTCGTAAGAGGTTGAAAGTTTGTTTTCATCGAGAGCAGAACTTGAGAATCTTTGTAGGTTTGTGAGCATGGCCTTTTCCCACTGCCTGCAAGGCTTTGCAGGGCTGTTCTACAGAAATGGAGAAGAGTTCCTGCATCGCTTGGGTAAATGATTTTGGCCTGCATTTTAGCTGTGACTTGATGTGTGATTGCTACCCACAGTTAAAGGTTGTTCTTATGCTTTGCTAACAGCAGTGTCGCTGGTGCTGCCACGTGCTGAACTTCACTGTGCTGACCCTGCTGTCTTTGCCTCTTTCTGAGTATCAACCAGATCATTCAGCTCACCTGAAGTTTATTTTCTGGTGCAGTTGGAGCTCTGAGCAGACCCAGAGTGTGCTGCGAGGAGTGCAGTTGTGCTGCTGTGTTTTGATCACTCGCACTTACGTACACGTGTGTCTGGATGCTTTGTGCAGAGCAGCACGTGGAGCCTGGCTGTGCTCCTGGCTGGAACGTCCTGCTTGTTATCTGTGCTTCCTGCTTGGTTTTTGTTTGGTTGGTTTTGTTCAAGGCTGATCTTGCTTCAAAAACGGTTGCATACAAACACGATGTCTCCTTAGAATTGCAATAAACGCCACCTTATTTCAGGAAAGGTTTGGATGGGAATTAGAAGATTACCTGTCATCCTGAGTGGCTCTCAAAGCAGAGGAGCTGGGCGGTGAGCTGAGGCATCTCAGTGGCACGACTTCCAAAGGTTTGTTCTGAAGTGAGGCCGCACGGGGTGCGATGGTGCGCAGAGCAGCGCAGCTCCTCGCAGCATGCAGGCGTGCTGCCAGCTCAGCATCGGCCGTCACAGAGCTGCCCGGTCTCAGGCTTGGTGTAGCCCATTCCAGACTGGACTGATGCTCTGTTTGGGGTTCTGCTGCTCCCTTGGATGCCCTCATGGCCGTAATGAGAGCAGGATCTCCCAGGAGTGCTGGCACGTGGCCGTCATACACTGAAGACTCCTCCTGTGCCACCATTTACAGAGATGTGTTACTGGATTCGTGTAAACCTGTATGTGCCTCTTGTGAAACTAGTTCAGCGTCGCTAGATTGTTCCTCCTGATTTGGGCAGGATCAGGTGTCTGGCACTTCTTGCTACGCAGAGCTCATTCCTTAGATATGCAAGTGGGCTGTGCACATCTTACTTTTTAATCAAGGGACAGGCTCCCAAAACAGCGCTGCAGTGAGAGCATCGCGCTGGGAGCAGTGCTGAATGTCAGAGCAGAGTTTGTTCCAGATGCTCGCTTTTCAGCTCTGTGGATCCGTTCTTCGTACTTCAGGGTTTTGCTGTGTGCAGAGGCATTGGTTTTTATTCTTCGCTATATCAAAAAGTAGTAACATGAAAGGAAACGCAGTGCTGCTTTTTTTCCTGTCGCACCACTTCCCAGTAATTGGGCTTCTCAGGAGTTGGTGTGATAGGAAGCGTAAAACCAACAGAGTCCTGTGGCTTTTTGGGTGGTGGTTCTTCAAAGCCCTGTCTGTGGAGGTGGTAATTCCACAGAGGAATGGCGATAGACTGACGGGGGGAGGACGTGCAATGGCAGTTTCCAGTTAAAACAAATACGTCTGTACCTGCAGCTGGGGGTGCTGAGGCACAGCACCTGTCTGTGCTTCTGCCTTGTTTCTTCACAGCCTCCATCTCACTGCAGGTTGAGCCGCATCCTGGAGGCGCTGGGAAGGAACCCTGCTGCCATGGAGCGCTGTGCAGAATGGGCTCTGTGTCGTCGGGCCGGGCTGGGAGCAGCGCTGTGCCATGCAAAGCACCTGCCAGCTCTGCCCAGCAGCAGGTGCCTGGCGGTGGGAGCTGGTTCCTCCTTTCCTGAGAGCTCACAGCTTCTCAGCGCGTCCCTCCGGCGCTCTTACTTTGCATTTCCCCTCAGATGTTTGGATAAATTGCATTTAGACCTGCTCTCCACCCACCCGGTTTGTTCAGCTGCTGCCGGGCACGGCCTGCTTGGGGCTGCAGTGGGAGGTGGAGGCTGTCCTTGTGCCTGGCCCTGTGGCAGTGCCCCAGCTCCTGCCCTGCATGGCCGCTTCTTCCAGCTGAGGAGCTCCAGGTGGAACTGCAAGATCAGAGCTCTGAGTTTAGTTTGCAGCTGTTCTGCAGCTTGTGTTGCCAGTAGCAACTTCTTGCTTGAATGTGCATCAAGGCATCCAGGGGGAGATGGCTTCATTTGGCTGCTTCCCCTTCCCAGGCATTAAAGAAAGATCCTTGCTGGGGCTCTATTTAAAAACAAAACAACCACAGACAGCAGCAGTGTCTTCATGGCTGCTTTGTGTCCTACGAACTGAGGTCCTTAAGCACTTGTCAGCTGCCACAGGGTTTTTTAAGTTGAACGTCTGCAAAAGGTGTTCTGCTCTGGTGAGCAGAAAAGCTGTAATTGCAGAGTGTTGCTGCCTTAGTTCTTGAGATGTGCTGCCTAATCTGCTCTGTAATCACCTCCAGGCGTTTTATGCCCAGGCCTCAGCGTTTTGGCCTCCTTTTCCCTGTGTCTGGAAACAGAATGTTATCCTTCATGGGGCGCCCTGGGGCTGCTCAGAGGGGATGCGTGGTGTCAGGGTGGATGCAGCCCACTCCTCCGTGCCCATTTCTTACCTGGTGTGTGCTTCGGAGGCTTTGGGATTTGTTTGCTTGTGCCTAATGGAGTTATGTGAGATGGGTTTGAGCCTCATTCGGCAGCAGGATGAGGTGGGAGAGCCTGGAGCTTGTGGGGATCCACAGGAGGAAGTCCTGGGTGGGAGAAGCAAAGTGGAAGGGAGCTGTGGAAGCTCCCTGCATATCAAAGCAGGTGAACGGGGTGAGATGCTGATCCCACGAGCACACAGAGCTGCCTTCCCACTGGCTCAGGGGGGTTCAGCTCCAGCCCCGCGGTGTTTTTTCTGCTGGTGCTATTCCTGATAGCAGGCATTCTTAAATCACAGGAATGCAGTTCCCCCGGGTGAAGGAGCTTACCTAATGGTGCAGGAATGGTTCTGTTGTTAAAGTTGGTGTCATGGAGCCAACGCCGAGGGTTTGCATGGAAGTTTGGGTTTTTCTGTTTTCTCTCTGATGCTTGCATGCATATTCAAGGTCCCTCACATATCTCTCCTAGTGGGAACCAAGAACTGGAATAATGTCTTAGCTTTCACCTGCTTAGGCTTTTATTTCAGACTCTGCCATTATTTCCTTCTGTAAGTTTTCTGAAGAAACCAGGCTGTGGGCACTTCTTCTCCCCGCTCACCTGCAGCCTCCTCTCACTTCTCCTCCACAGTCACTCTCCATAGCAGGCGTCCCTCACTGCTGCTCTGAATCCAGTCCTGTGTGTGCTCTGCAGGTGGGAGTTCTCTGCCTTCCTCAGGAGGACCCTTTAAATTCTGGGTGATTGAAGCAAGCCGTTTCCAGCTCCTCCTTCCAAGTTTGGATGAGTGTGACAGAGGCCTACACCTAATGCTTAATTTGCCCTTGAGGTAACACTGTGTTGTTACCAGAGCTTTCTTCCCCTTTGCTCCATTTTTAACCTGTTGCTTCTTAGGGTTCTGTTGCATTGCAGTGCAGTGTTTAAGCAGGCTGAAAGCAAGACATCTGTGGTTTTGAGTCAGCCCTGAGAAGTGATTCGGCACCAGGATGAACGGCATCTCCAGTTGCAGCAAAGACCCCATCAGTGCCAGTGTTGAAGTATTGCCAGGTAGAAAGGATTAGCTTCTGTTTGTGCACCTATGCTATTTTTTGTCTGCATCTGACAATGCAGATCATGGGGGGGAATCAAGGGCCAATGTTAAAGTTTCGTTAGAATATTTCTCTCTGTATTTTCTTACAAATACTTGAAATATCTTCGTCTGTGGGAGGATGGCATTATAATGCAAGTAATTGTTGAAGAGCCATCAAGCAGCTTGTCAGTCCCTGATTTCCATAGGTGCCCTGCCTGCAGTTCTTCCTGTCTCAGCACCTGTTTCTCTGTGGTCTTGTTCCCTCCTCCTTGCTGTGCTCTGTCAAAATTCCCCCCAGCTCCTCCTTCCCAGGGTGGTTAAATGGAAAGGATCCTGAAGAGCACAGCCTGCAGAAGGTGCCCCTCTCCCTGATCTGCTCATAGAATTTCATGGCATGGCCTCACTTTGGCCTTGTAGGTGCTGGACTTGGTGCTGCTGTGCTGCATTGGGGCTGTGCTGCCTTTGGCCCGAGGGCTGAGGGTTGGCAGCAACACGAGCTGCACCATTCATGTCCCAGCTGAACGTGGGCTGCTGTCTTCTGCCCTGCCACGGTAATGACAGCACTGCTCTGGAGGTGTTTCCCTATGGAAGCTGTAACACCGTTGCTCTCTTCACAGCTGCTGCGTATGAGGAGAAGCTCAGAGGTGTATTCTTGTATTCTTTGTGCATCTTGTCATCTTGTGGGGACCTCGGGGCTGCTTGGGGTGTCCTCAGGAGCGTTTAGCATCACTGACACAGGGCCAACTCACCAACTCCTTTGGTGTGCACCCAAACATTTCTGTGCTGGGAACATCAGGTCCTGCACCCTGCTGGGCACGGCTGCCTGCTCTGCGGTGCTGCTGGGCTCCTGCCGCGCTTCCAGATAGTGAGCTCTGTGCACAATGACACCTTTCTAACAGGCACAGAAGAATTTGTTTAATTAAGCTTTTTAGAAATAATACCAGGCCGACCTTGACATTGTCTCTTCACCTTGAGGGGATTTGCTGCTGTATTCTGCACTGTTGTTGGCTGTAAGAAGCGCTGGAGTAAATGACTTTCCTGTTGGTGCACAGCGCAGTGTGGGCTGTGAGCACCCGTTGTGTTCTGTAAGTCCCTGTGAGAAGGCAGAACTCCAACAAGGGAATGAGGAGAGCACTTTTATTTTCAACTCTTTTTTGTGTGTATTCTTTTTACAATCTTTGGAAAAGTAAACAAACAACGAGCACAAAAAACCCCCACTTTTAGAGGTTGTGAGTATTCTGAGTATCTTCACGTGGCTGCTGAGCCGCGGCCTGGCGGACCTCAGCACTTCTTGGCCAGGCTGGGCTCTTCCCGCAGTCCTGGCACTCGGGGGGGATCTCTGGATGCCTGCATCCTTCTCATTGCTGATGCTTGCTCTGCTTTCTCCCAGCTTCCAGCATGTCTACAGATGGCAGCTTCGGCACAGGCAGCAGCAGCGATGCCCAGCAGAGCCTGCAGTCCTTCTGGCCCCGCGTCATGGAGGAGATCCGCAACCTCACAGTGGTGAGTGCCTCAGTGGCTCACATTGCTTCTAGAGAACCAGTGGTGGATTTCAGAATGCCTTCAGGTGTAGCTGCCTTCGGTGCTTTGAGCTGACAGGAGGTTGAGGGATTTCAGATGGTAACTCGTGCTGTTCTGCTGCTTCTCAGCTTCAGTAATACAAAATAAGTGACGAGAGTTACTCCCATGTAAGAGCACTCTTAATCCCCCTCCTTCCCCTTTGTAAATTCAAACATCTGGCTATTGGCAGACGGTGGCAATTTTGTGAATGAATTTTTGGTTTTCATTTTCTGTATAGAACAATTATGCTCTTTCAGAACCGCCTCCTTTGACAAGCCTGAAGTCTTGAAAATCACTTGAATGCCAAGTGCATCGTTATCACGTGCCTTATTAATTTAAAGACATTTCATTAAAAAAGAAAAATCACATAGAGGCTGAGAATAGGAATTGGACTAAGTAGCTTCTATTTTTCCATCCCCAGAAGAGAAGTGCCTGGGAACGAGGGCATATAATAAAAATTGGCTTTTGGAGAGAGATGGAGAGATGGCTGTGATGCAGCAGTCCTGCAGGCACACCCTGAGCTTGTAATGCAAGTGAAAACAAAAGAGCCCCAATTGAAGACGGGCTGTTCAAAGTGAAAACCCCAATCCAGTAGTTGGAAGATAAGCTGCTTTTTTTTCCTGCCTGCGTGCAGACAGTTGGTTGGAGAAACAGATGTAGAATTTTGTATGCATAACTAGAATTAATTACTTTCTTCTTTTACTGCGTTGAATTCTTGTGTTCAAGAGCTGTAGTTTGTCTCCACATGAAAGGGGTTTATTCCACAGCTTATCAAATACGGGCAGCTTAATTTTTAACTGCTCTGTGAAGCTATTTATCGCATGGCAAGGTAGGAAGTCGCTGGAAATTAACTGGAGACACTGGAGCAGAGATAGCAGGGAAAAGGATGAAGTGCAGCACATCTGAACGCGGCCGTTCCCAGCACAACCAAACCCTGGCACCCGTGTGCATCTGGCGCTGCCATGCATGTGGATGGAAGCAACCTCGGAGCTCACCTGTGTGTGCTGTGCTGTGCAGCTCAGAGCAGCTGTGACGGAGGCCTGCTTTGCACAGCTGTCTGCTTTGGGGCGTTTGCAACGTGCTGCCACTGGCTGGAATGCAGGGGAGGAAAAAGGGATCTGCTGTGTGAGAGCTGGGATCACTGGGCTGCCCTCCATCCTGCAGGACAAGGGGCTGTAGGTTTCTCTTGGAGAAGCAGGAGGCAGAATGAGGCTGAAACAAGCATTGCAGCTCCGCAGAGAGCTAGAAGTGGCCTGGGAAAGTATTGAGACCTAATTTGGAAAAAAGAAAAGATGAAGAATTGGTTCTACAGTTCGTTGTGCTGGGCAGTAGCCAGTAGTGGTCACGCTTCCCTTCACCGTGGTACTTGCGTATTGATTTTGATTTATGTGACATTTGCCTGTCAGCCTTAAAGGAATAAAGGCTCTTTAAATTGCTCTGGTTTCTCCCGCTGTCTCTGCTCTCTGAAGGTTTTAATAGCATTGCACCTTGTGCAGTGCACTTGTAGCTGCAAGCATCTGCTTGCACTTCTCTTGTTCTTGGAAGTGAAATAATTAGCACCGTTACGAGTTTCACCAATTAGGAATTTTGTCGTCATCTTTCCTTGAGGCCCGAAGCTCGTGGGGCACTTTAAAAAGGAATGAGCTTAACAAAATAAACTCAAGGAAATCTCTGGGATGTTTTTTCATGCCCTAGCAACCTCCTGACTTGTTTACGTGATGGTGGCTGGTGGGAAGTGCCACCCTGACGTGTGTGTGCTCAGCACAGCTCCTGCCTGCTGCCCTCTCCCAGCCCTTCCACACCAGGCCTCTGCCCTCCTGCTGCACGCACCACGTCCGAGATTCTCCCCACAGTGAGAACGCAAAGGTTTGCTGTGTTCTGATACATATCTATCATTTTCATACCTAAATTGATCACACACCTCCTGCCGGAGCGCTGGCTGTCCCACATACGGCTTCTGTACTTTATTTTAGTAGAAAATGGCATTTTCAGTATTTTTCTTTCCTCTTTTGTTTCATTACCGTGTCTGGCAGTGCTCTCTTACCACGGAGAAGAGTTTCCTTTTGCTTTTTGTGCCATTTCTGTGGAGAAGACATTTTGCAGAAGCCCTGTGTGCGCAGGGATTCTGCATCCTGGTGCAATGGACGTAACCTCACCTTTCTCCCTCTTTGAAGGGGCCCCTGCTGGCTGCACGGCGTGGATTTCTTGTTCTTCTGCACCTGCAGAGGAGGGCAGGCAGTGCTGCACTGAAGCTCGCAGCTTCCCTCGCCCCTTGCATCTTCTCAGGGCTTTGTGTTGGCGTCTCAGTGCATCTCTGTTGCTGAGCAGCCGCCAGCAGTGAGCAGGGAGGCTGATTCACTGCAGTGATGGCTTCCTCTCCTCGCTGCCTCCTAAGCCATCCTTACCCTGTTCTGAGTCAGCAGTTCCCTTTGCTGGAAAATGGCAAGGAATCCATTTAAATACAGGAGTAGACAAGGTTTTGCAGGGCTCTTGACACTAAAACTGATACTGGGGAGCAGGGAAGTGCAGGTAGGGCAGAGATTTCATCCTATGGCAATATAGCTCTTATTTGCCTTCATTTCCTCTAGTGAGTCCTTGCAAATTCCATTGCTTTCTCCGTCCTAAGGCACCTAATTGAATTAGTTGCTTCAAATACACATTTCTGCATCTATTTATAACTTTAGAAACATTCTGTTCTGCAGAAGGACTTCATCTTCGAGGTGAAACTGTAAATGCAAGTGTCTGACGGAGGGCTGAGGTACCGCTGTGCTGTGTGAAGTACAGGAAGGCGGCTGGGAATGCTCAGATCTGAGGAGGAGCTGCCCCACCTCAAAGCAAAGGAGTTGTTTCTGTCGAGTTTTAGCAGGTTCAGTTTCAAACAACAGCAATTTGTTTTAATTTTCTTACCTGTGTCTCAAATGTGGATCTCTCTGCAGAAAGACTTCAGGGTTCAGGAGCTGCCCCTGGCTCGGATTAAGAAGATAATGAAGCTGGATGAAGATGTGAAGGTACCCTCATGGCTTCTGTCTTAAGTGTTTATGACCCTTTTGGTGGATGCTGTAGCTGTAATTCTTTGCAATTCATTCCTTGTTATTGTCATTGTTTATCATTATTTTTAAGGTACTTTACAGAACAATTACTGGAATGCACCGTTAGCTGGCCTGGTGTAATTAAACTGAACTGGGGAAGCAAGATCACTTGGGATCTTTGCTGAAGACTTTTTCAATTCTGCTTTCTTTTGTTCAATACCAACCTGCTGCATAACTCTGGGTGTTTCCTGGCTGCTTGGCTTTTTTTTTCCTAGTGCTGACCCATCTTTTCTCACATCTCCTTGTTTTTCTTGACTCTTCCTTTCACAAAGCTGTAGAAGGTTCACGTGGGCAGTGACAGCACTGAAAGGTGCTGCGCTGCTCTGTGGAAAAGTAGGGAAAGGTAGTAACTTAGGTAGGTACCACTGGTTTGGTAGTGATACTCGAGCTGAATCTTTGACTTGAATCTGATAAAGTCCACTGGTGAAAGGTTGGAGGCATAAGAGGAAGGGGGGAGAATGGAGCGCGTGTTGAGTCCTGCGCTGCCCCAGCCCTCCTGTTTGTTTGAATAGCAAGAGGCCCTCAGACGTGGCTCTCCTAAGAGAGAAAAGAATGGTTTGCACTCTTATTCTCAATGTGACACCATCCTTCTCCTAGGACAGCCTTTAAATGTTAAATGAGAGTCAGAAAAAGGCGTGTGTTGTCTCCCTGTCCAAGGCAGCTATTCTGTCAGCCTGCAGCCACAAGGAACCCAACCCCCTCAGGTCCCAATTTATGTCTGAAGCGAGTGAGTGCCAGCTTTGTGATAATGAAGGGAAGGTGAGATTTAAGAGGGAAAAGAGTCTTTGGCATTCCTTCTGGTGTTATTTAAGAAGCCTGCACTGGGGATTCAGCACTAATGCCAAGCCAGCTAATAACGAAACTGCTCAACGTGAGCAAAACTTGAGCGAGATGCTTTTTAAGGGAAAGGAATTTGGTGAGGCGCATGGTCTTTATCTGTGTCTCCAAACCTCCTTTGCAATTTCTGCATTCATTTCAGATTATCTTAGTGTTACAACTATAAAGTAAGGGCCAGGCTCTCTTCAGCTTCTCGTTCAGAATCACTTGCGTGTGCCCAGCGCTGCCAGCAGAAGCTGCTGGGTGATGCCCACAGCTGAGTACAGCCTGGTGCAGCAGTTCAGAGCTGCTGGCTCAACACAACCCGACACGAAGAGGCAGCACCTGGCCAGGTGTGTGCAGCAGGCTGTGAAGACAAACTGCGTGTGGTCAGTGCTCTTGGCACTGCGTCTGACTGGAGGCTCTTTGGGCTGTCAGACCGGGGATCTGATGGGGAAATTCCCCAAGCTTCACTGTTAGGCAACACGGCCATTCAGATTTGAGTAACGTTACGCAGTCACCTTGACTTTGCTGCATTGGAGTCTTGATAGTAACTTCAAAAAACGTGTGCATTTAATTACAGATGATTAGTGCTGAGGCCCCTGTGTTGTTCGCCAAGGCAGCTCAGATATTCATAACAGAACTGACGTTGCGAGCCTGGATCCACACAGAAGACAACAAGCGCAGGACTCTGCAGGTAACAGCAGCTCCTACCTGGCCTTCAGCAGCTTCAGAAACTGTTTCCAACTTTTGTTTTCATAATAGGAGGCATGCTTTGTAAACAGAGGCTTCTATCACCAGGAACCTGGGTACAAAGCGCGTTGCCCGCTGTGGTTGTGCTACCTAAGTGCTTTTTGCTTAACTTGGTTTTAAAAACAAACAACAGCCATATAAAGAAAGAAAAAAAAGCAGCAGCTGTCTGCTAATGGTGACCTGCTCTAATCCCTTTAGGGCATCTGTATCTGTCAGACTTCTGGCTGTTTTGTTTTTCAGCAGTAATTCTCCTAAGGCAGGCTTGTAGATGTTAGTTGGGGTCCAGAGATGAGAACAAAAATGGTTCCTCCTGCGCCCTGATGCAGGGATTGCCATGGTGGCAGGCAGACAAGTGTGATTCCAGCCCAAAGGCGTCCTGTTGGCTGGGTGTCCGACCACTGAATCCTCACTAATTGAGGCCAGTGCCAGTTCCTTAACCTGGATTTTAATGCAGTTACCGTGGGAAGGATGTATTTGATGCACAGAGCAAGGACAAGGCGCTGCATAAGCAGCAAGTGTCGACTCAGGCATGTCCTGCTAACAACTTTCAAGCTGTTATTTCAGAGTTGCACTTAGATCCTGATCCTAATGTACAGGACCTTTAATTGACCCAGGTTTCAATTCAGGAGCGCTTTGCCTTCCCCAGCAGCTGCCATCGTAGAACAGCTGCTCTCCTCATGGGCAGTGCAGTGCAGCTGGAGGAATGCAGTCTTTGCTTATCAACTATTTGGGAAAAAATGTAGAGTGGAGAGGTCTGAGTTATGGGAGGAAATTGGATTGAGCCCAGCCCTCAGCACGGAGAACGGAATGGGAGAGACATCTGTTCAGTCAAAGGTTTCTTCCTGGTGAAGATCCTGCTGTAATATATGCTGCCTGTGGAACAGAAGAAATGTCTCTCTTGTGCTTTCTGCATGATCATTGTTTGCACTTAAATGCCAAGGCAGAGCAGGGTTTGGAAATGTCAGCTCTGAAATGTGAGGATGGATGGTCGTAATGTCACCACGCGCCAGGCAGCGCAGGCAGTGCTGTCCCAGCTCCTGTTCATAGAAATGCTTTACAAATTTACCTTCCGTTAATGAAAACGAGGCTTTTAAGAGCTTCTTGAGTCAGCCCTGCTTTTTGAGGTGGTTTGCTGGGATGTTAAACTGACACAGAGCCTTTTATTTTTTTCTTTTTAAGACTTGCAATCTTTTTTCACCTTTTTTTAATCGTGGGGTTGCTGGAGATCTTAAGCAAACCCTGCAGTGGTGCCTTCTGCTGGCTGCCCCTATTCAGGTCAGCAGCACTTTGACCTAATGCTCGTGTTTGGATTTCTTCTTTTGGTGAAGATACGAAAGAAAAGTTTCTTTAGATGAACTTTTTATGCTTATATGCATGAAAGCAGCTTGGAGAAGCTGTTTGCCTTGCCAGTGTTCTTAGAAGCTCACTGGCTCTTGCGCATCCTTTCTCTGATACCTTTGGCCACTTTGCTAACTCTGTGTTTTAATCTTGCTGCTTTCTCTTAAGAGCCCTTCCACAGGCTGCATTTTGTTCTCTCTCCATCTCTTGGGATTCCCCTGCCCCAAATAAGACCCTGTAATTCTGTGTCTTTTTCTCACCAAACGCGTAGGTTCCACCTAGGGGAGGTTCTGTAAAAGCTGAAGTGTAATGAACACCCCTGATTAAAAAGCTCTGCTTTGTTTATCTCGTGACAGAACATGCTTCTAAAGCTGAAAAGTGCTTTTTCTTGTTGCTGTTGTAGAGGAACGACATTGCCATGGCAATTACTAAGTTTGATCAATTTGACTTTCTGATTGACATCGTCCCAAGAGATGAGCTGAAGCCTCCGAAGCGTCAGGTGAGACAGAGCAGCTGCCCTGTTGGCTGTCCTTTCCGTGGGGTGGTTTCACTCTGATTGTTAGGGAGCTGATAACGAGTACAGAGTCTCAGATTTAGACACGTTTGTGCCCCTTTGTGCACGTTTCTTCTTCACAGTGTTCAGATTCTTAATTGTTTTTGGTGCAAATAGAGGGGTGATGACAGAAGCCCGACTCGGGCACTTACCGAAGAACAGAAGCATTTCTAAACAGCTCTGAGAACAAACATTAGCACTATTAAAAATGTTCAAAACTGTGCTGACTCTGCATCCTTTGGCTGCCATGAAGCAACCCAGGCAGCTTTGCCCAGCAGTGCCACCTCCCGCGTCCTTCAGGGCAGTCGTTGCTGCTGTAAACATCCTTGACTGGAAGCTGTGAGGTGTCAGCGGGAGCTTTCAGTCGGATGTTTACAGCTGCAGGCTGCTGCAGTCACCTGGGTGCTGCTGCCCCGTGGAAGCCAGCAGACGTTGCTCCAGGAGCCCTTGTTGCCCTCGTGTGCCAGACGGTGCCCAAACTGCAGCGTGGTGGGGCTGCAGCTCAGTCGTCCCCTGGCTCGCCGCTGCTTCACGTGCACAGAGGCAGATCCTGCACTCGGCTGGGCTGTGTCTGCCTGCTTCCTTCAGCTGGTTTTCAGATGCCTTTGGAGGTCTTTCAAAGGTTCAAGGTGGTCTTTGACATTTCTTTGAGTGCTGCTGGAAAGACTGGAGAACTGTAAAACAGCTTCCTGGCAAGTGCTTTACTTGGAAGCTTTGCTTTGATGTGTTTCTCGTATTCCATTACAAGTCAAACATACAAGAAGTACCTGCTGTGAACAGAGATGCTGCTCCCATGGTAGACCTGGAGTTTGAAAGCTGCTGTTTCACTTTCCGTCTGAATTGTTTGGGTTGGAAGGGACCTTTAAAGGCCAGCTGCTCCAGCTGCCTGCAGACAGGGACCCTCGCAGCTCCATCAGTGCTCACAGCCCCCCAGCCCGGCCTTGGCACTCTCCAGGAGCACAGCACCACGCTCCTCTAGTGACCAATGCCACTCCTCACCAGCCTTGCTGTACAAAAGACTTCCTTGTATCCAATCTACATCTCTCCTTTTTTAATGAGAAACCATTTCCCTTGCTCCTATCCCAGCAGACCCTGCTATGTCCTCACGGTTCTACTGAAGTGGCTGCAGTGGGAGCTTGCCTGTATCTGGTTTGATACAGAGATGCCAAAAGATTCACTCTGAACACAGCTGAATCATGAGAAATGCTGCTAAGGGGAGAAGTCTGATGCAGAAATCCAGCGTAGGTTGGGACTTTTCAGTGGAAAATATTTCTCTTCTTCCACGGTGTGAAGAATTGCTGCCCATAGGCTGACAGGCTGCCCTTTTTGGCTGGGGGTGCAATCTGTGCTTTAGCACGGGCAGGACTGTTTGACAACTTGGTGTTGCTTACGAGGAAGAGCTGAGGAGGGAACCATGACTGTTATGTTGCTCCGGTAACTGAAGCTACGGCTTGGAAATACAAGATGCCCAACGATGGGGTGCAGCCTACTTCATGCAGATTTGTATTTAAAGTCATTTTTGTATGTAGCAAGGAAAATTTGAACCTGGAATAGATGCTGATGTCCTTAATTGAGGGTTCAGCGAGCAGCAGGGTTGGAGCTCTATGGAAATAGCGTACCTAAGGACTGGGCTTTACAGAAACAGCCATGGCTCTTCAGTGCTTGCAGTTTTATGACTCGTTGGAGAATTGTCCTGTTGAATACATACTTACATTTATTATGAATCCCTCCTGCAGAGGATTTGATGAAGCGAGCAGGAATTAATTGTGTGCTGCTGTGTGAAGGAGGTGCTGTAAGTGGCCGTGGTACTGCGGGGTGCTGCTGGGAGCCAGGCTCAGTCACTGCTTCATTACAGCCAGCTGCCAGCAGCGTAACCTTTGGGGTGTCATTTCCTGGTATGCTGTTAGAAACCTGTTGAGTGGCTCAGAGTCCCTCTGAGAGCTGAGCACTGAAGGGAAGGGGCTCTCCTACCCACGCCTGATGCCCATGTGGGCAGCGTACACTAGTTTTGTTTAATGGAAGTTCTTGTGCTGCCCAGCTGGATGCACTGAAGGTAAGCCATGAGCGAGCCTCTTCTGATGCAGGGGAGCGGAGCAGACTTGTGTGACGTGGCCCCTGCCATGCTGTAGCACGTGTAAACATCCTACACTCTCAGCTGTGAACTCGAGGTGGCTGGGAGAGGATTGTTTACGCCTTCTGCCATGGAGTGAACGTCTGGTGATCTGTGTCTCCTGCTGGGCGCAGGGTCCAGTGCTCCTCTGGGAGCTCAAGAGGTGCGATTCTCGAGCGTTCAGCGCTTGTCACATAGCATAATCTCCCCAGATCTACTTTGCATTAAATATCTTGAGTTACAAGGCGCTTTTCTCTTCCAAAGGCATCCACAGATGAAACAAGATGGCAGTACAACAGCCTGTGCTCCTGACAGCAAGCTGGAGCAGAAGCTGTTGTTCTTTCCACTCATGAGATATCCCTGCTTCCTGCAGAATCAGGCTGTCAAGCCGTGACATGAGACAAAGTTGTTGTTATTCTGAAAAAGCTGGATTTCAATAAGTAGACCAAGGCCCTGCAGTGTGCATCGAGTGCATGGCTTCAGTTCCCAGGGGTTTGACATCAGAGCTGGGCTAAGATCTGTGTTGGGCACGTGGGCTAAGGAGAAGGCTTTGCAGGCAGATGAGGCTTTGCAGGTCTTCCTTGTGCATTGCAATTCATTCTGTGCTAAGATAACCAGCGATGATGGAATTTGCTGATGAGGAGCTGTGTGGATTTCAGCTATGGTCATTTTACACGTTTGCTTCTCATGATGAAATTGGTGACTCCATTATTATGTGTAGGATACTGGAAATGGTTTTGATTTCCTTCCGGCTTCATAAATGAGGAAACCTCATTTGAGTGATCGTTTTTGAGTCACTTAAGCTGTTAGAAAGGAGGCACTGGAGGCACCTTGGTGCTCGTGGGGGTGCTCAGCGGTGGCTGGGCTGGCAGCTGGGGGTTCCCTCCCCATTTACCCACTCTGTGCTGTGCTGCAGGAAGAGGTACGTCAGGCTGTGACCCCAGCTGAACCCGTGCAGTATTATTTCACCCTCGCTCAGCAGCCTGCTGCAGTGCAGGTCCAGGGGCAGCAGCAAGGACAGCAGACCACAACATCTACAACCACCATCCAGCCGGGGCAGATCATCATCGCACAGCCTCAGCAGGGGCAGGTGAGTGTGGGCAGAGCTCGGGGCTGTGCAGGGTGCTGGGGATCCTTGGCTCACTGCGGTGTCCTGTTCTCCCTGCTGCCAGCAGTCAGTAGTGCCACAGAAATGGGTTTTCCTTTGCAGCGTAAGGAGCTGAATTGTGTTGAGCCAGTGAGCAAAGCAGAAATATCCTTTGAATCTCCGTGCTGTAGGTTATGTTGTTTTGTGGGAGTGCAGTGCACTGTTAGCCCAGAGTGAGTCACAACAGCCATAGGACACATTCTGTCTTTTCCACGTGCAAGTGAAGCTGTAATGGTTTTTGAGCTCTGCAGTCAGCAGTGTTACTGTTACAGTGTGGTTTTGTTGGTTTTTTCCCTTCCTCTCCCTGCCTTTCTTAATAGCATATTGAGTGCCACGGTGAGGTTAGCAAGGCACCCTTTGCTTGTCTGGATGAGCACTGCTCTGGCAGCAGGCTGCCCTTGCCAGGTGCCGACCACGACACCGCTGCGATCTTCAGAGCTCTGAGATCTCAATTTGAAATGCATGCATTTTCTTGAACGTATTTGGCACGTCTCTCGAGTACCTGTGCCAAAGAGTGGCTATCTGCAAAACCAGGACACAGGACTCCCCCTTCGTAGTGTTGTTACAGGGTGTGCAGGATGCCCTAAAGCCAGGATCACGCGGGTCTTGCTGCGGTGACTGAAGCATCAGCGAGGAGCAGCGGGGCTCAGCAGCAGCCCTGCGGCCTCAGCCCTGTTCTGAACGCAGCCCTGTGCCAATGCAGGTGGGAGAAGGCCAGCAGGTGCAGATTGTGCAGGCCCAGCCGCAAGGACAGAGCCAGCAGGCGCAGAGCGGGACGGGGCAGACCATGCAGGTCATGCAGCAGATCATCACCAACACGGGGGAGATCCAGCAGATCCCGGTAAGCCGTCGTGGGGCTGGGAGTGAGGTGTCTGCAGCTGCTTCAGCGCGGGGCTGTGTGTGTTTGTGTGCCTTCAGAGCTGTGCAAGGAGGTTTGGGCTGCGCGCGTTTCCTGCGCCGGGAGAGAAAACGAGCCGGGTGTGACGTGAAGGGGGAAATAAACTGAGGCCGTGCAGTGCCAGCACCACTGCTCCCCACGGGTGGAATGGAGTTATTAGGAGGCAGGACAGAAAGCACTTCCTGCGTAAATTAGTTCTCCACGACAGCGTGCTTGCAGTAAAACCTAATTAACTTGTGTTGCCTTTACTCGGTTCTGCCTCTGCAACCCGGAGCCACGGCCTGTCGGACCGAGTGGGAAAAGTGCTGCCTGTGAGTCATTAACCAACTCCTACGCTGCAAAAAAGCATTTCTACAACGTAGTCTGAGCTGATGGCAGGGATGGCTTTGTGCTACCAGGAGATTTCTTCTCACTTTCACGTGAACGTAAGGCTGCTGTGCCCTAAGAATGGGATTTTGAGTACACAGCGAGCCGTGAATTCTGGCACGTGTCCTGGGTAAACACGAGGCTCCCAAAATGTCATTTTCCCTCTCTTTGTAGCTTGGAATGACAACAAAGCTGAGCCTTTTGGTTCCCACCTGAAAAATTTCACACGCCTTAAAATAAAAATGGATAAAATCCTTCCAGTTCCACGCACTCAACCAGCAGCACAGGGGTCAGGCAGGTGACCAAGATGAGCGCTTCGCTTCATCTGTGATTCCTCTTGCTGTTAGGAGGCTGAGCAGCTGCGCAGAGCTGATCTCACACAGGCTGAGGTTTGGTCAGCATCCCTTTGGCAGATGTTTGTGCTCTGACAGAGCATCTCGAGGAAAGCGAAGGCTCTGCGTGCTGCCACATTGTCCCAGTTCACTTCCCTCTTCTCATCTCTGCAATCCTCAGCTGATTCCTACACCAGGTGTTGATCAGGAGGGACAAGACTGCTTGCCAAACGTGCTGCTTTACCACCAGCAGCCTTTTTCCTTCTCCACGTTCTTCACCGCCTTTCTCTTGCATTTTTGTCCTCCTTTGCTTTATGGAAGTCTCTCTTGGATGCTTCTTAAAAGCATTTTGGATAGAGATCTCTACCCCTGCCTGGGTGAATCTGGCATAACAGAGCAGCAATAAAAGAAGTTCAGGCTTGTTTTGCAGTCATCCCCAGTGCAAGCTGTAAGTCCCTGTAGGAAAGCGACCTGGAGATTTGCAGGGGAAAGAATTCTTTATAAAGCAGCTTTGGAAGGGGCTGAAGCATTCTGCAGGAAATGCCATTCTCCACCCAGGTGATGCTGTTTTAATTGATGGCGTGTTTATGAACGAGCCACTGGAGGCTATTTAATTAGCACCTGCTTTTGGCCAGGAGAATTCTTCCACCTCATCTTGCCTGGCAGCGCTGGGGCTCGTGGCCATCCTCAGGCACTGCTGGGGTTGCAGTTGGGATGGAGCTGCCTGAGTGGGCATCTGTTGTGCTGGGGATGCTTGGGCTCCTCGTGAGCGTAAGGCGATAAAGCCGAGTACCTCAGGAGGGGTGTTACAGTGGAATACAGTTCTCACTCCAGTACCTAGGAGAAATGCTGCCTTGACAGTAATTAATGTGATTTCTCTTAATTGCAGCATGTTGAAGAACCACAGCCTGTGCTGGAGGAAACACCTTTCCCTTTGCTTCCAGCAAATGAAATGCAGCAGAGCAGGAGCCACACAGCCAGCATGAGAGCAGAGTGCCTGGGAGCACGCTGTGTGGATCCACAGTCACAGTCCTTGCTCTGCTCACTGCTGCTCTCTGTTCTGCTCTCTTTCTGCTCCTCTTTTATCCTTTCTCCCCTAAATCTCCTTCCTATCTTGGTGCAGTCAGTGTTACCTTCTGGCAGCTCTTTTCACTCCGCTCTCTGGTAGCGTTCAGCTCCAAATCTTCCTTAACACAAACACAAAAGGCTGAAACACAGAGCTGGTAGCATCTGCCAGCATAGGAGTGGTGGGAGAACGGCCTCAAACAAACAGAGTGGAGCTGGAAGGAAGGCAGGAAATGCATCCATTACAGAGCAGCCATTTGTTTGCCCACATGAATTCTGTGTTCAATTTCATCCATGCCTTCGCCTTGACGTCGCGGGGCGAATCTTTGGAGGTTGCCCTCATTTCTGGAGGAACTGTGTGTGAATTGCTTCCATCGCTGCTGGGAGCGTGGTTGAGATGGAAGCAGGAAGCTGCAGCGTGGAGAAGTTGCTCAGCAGGCAGAGCTCAGTGCAGAAATGGAGTCTTTGCTGAGATGTGTGCTTGCGTGGGGTCCATTTGCTCATGAAGTAACGTTGGTGCTGCTGGGTGCAGCTGGTTCAGCAGCGGGTGGCAGCAGGGCTGTGTGCCAGCAGCTCCTGGTCCCTGAGCGGTGCTCAGGTGCTCTGCACGCCTTCCTTGCCCCTCCTTAAAAACAAAAAGCACCTCAAAGTGTTTGGGATGTAAGGCACCGTAAGGCTGCGAACCAAAATGTTCTGAAGTTCAACAGCGCAGCACCAGGAGCTCGATGGCAGTCAGCCACGTGGGGACCTTTCCATCGCCTCTCGGCGTGTCCCACCAGCTGCCTCTGTCACAGACTGAGAGCTGAGGGCACTAAGATGGCTCTGCTCAGACCCCTCTCCCCAGGCATCCAAGATCCAGGCTGTAGGAAATAAATGAACTTGCATTGGAATGTGACCCAGCGCTGACACGAAGCGTTGGCTTTGCCAGGTAAAGAAGAGTTGCGCTTCAGGGCTGCAGATATTGTGGTATACTTCTGTCATCTCTGCTGCCTTCAATGATTTGAAAATGTCCTGTGTTTCCTTTATGTTTTTGGCAGCACGTAGTGGGAGTGTCATGACGTGCAGCTAGCTTGGAGGAGCCTCTGTGTGTGAGATGAAAGGCTGAGCAGTCGCTGCATTCTGGTGACTGAGAGGGAAAACAAGTGTTACAGTGCTCCGAAACGTAGCACTCAACATGCTTTAGCTACTAACTGGCCTTTTGTCCTGGAGAAGGAAGCGCTGTGCTTCTTCAGGTTCTCCTTGCAGAGCCTGGAGGAGTTCTGGGGACTTGGCTCTTGCCCTGTGCTAATTCCTCTCCCCCACCGCTGCCCGGCTGGAGCTCCCCAGTCTCATCTGTTACCTGGCTTCTGTTGTGGAAACGAGAAGGCAAGTTGGTGTGTTTCAGGTTACACAGTTACCTGTTTAATTTTCTTTCCCTGCCCCCTCCGCTTGTCTCCAGGTTCAGTTGAATGCTGGCCAGCTGCAGTATATCCGCTTAGCCCAGCCTGTGTCAGGCACCCAGGTAGTCCAGGGGCAGATCCAGACGCTTGCAACCAATGCCCAGCAGGTATGCGCTCCAGCAGCAGGGCTGGCCTTTGCTGTTATGGTGTTGTTCCCTAACTCCTGAAACTGCAAACTCTGGTGGAATTGACCAACTCTTGGGCCAGGGATCCTGAGTTTCTTTTCTTCCTGTTTACCTTCATCAGAATAACGAAGCGAGGAGCGCAGCGGATGTTTCCCTTACCTGTGTGTGAAAGCTGCATGCTGTGTGTGTGTGTCTTGCTGCATAAAGCCCTTGCTGCTTCTGAGCTGGCTGCAGGTTTATCAGCCTTTTCTTTACTTCTCCTGGTTGGGTGAGGGAGGAGCAGCAGCTCTCAAAGCTCTGCAGCAGTGACACATCAAGGCCAGCCCTGCAGCCGCCAGGTTGGCTCATGATCTGTGGGGCTGCTCGTTAAGGGATTCTGCTCTGCCTTCCGAGGACAGGAGGGCTGCTGCTTCCCTGACATCCTGGAGGCCGCAAGGTTCTCCTTGTGAAAGCCAGACGTGCTTTGTGAGCACTCAGTCCCTGTCCTTTGTTCCTGACTGCAGTCAGGACCAACGTGAGCACAGGCTGCTGCCCTGCCATGTGTCCCCCCCTCACGGCGGGGCAGTGAAGCTTGCAAGAGTGGAAAAGCTCTGGAAGGGCTGCGGCAGGATGTTGTCTGTGGGTTCTGAGCCTCCCCAGAGCTCCGTCCCTGACTGCCCTTCTCTCATCCTCGCAGATCACGCAGACAGAAGTCCAGCAGGGGCAGCAGCAGTTCAGCCAGTTCACAGACGGGCAGGTAAGAGCTCGGGCCGTGTTGGTGCCGCGTGCCTTCAAAGTCCCAGCTGGAAGGACGGTTTGGGTTTGTCCTGGCAAATCAGCTCTTGGGGTAAAGCGCTGCTACTGCAGCCAAACCTGAAGCAGAGGCAGAATAATGGATCCTGGCCACTCCTGATGCAGCTCCTCAGCGCTCTGTTTGCTCCAGATTAACGCAGCCCATTTCAGTCCTGACCAGCTTTCAAATACAGGTCTGAACGTTTAGCCTGGCTGTTGTGTGAGCAGCACGAGCTCAGTCTGAGCATCAGGAATGGACAGAACGATGTACGATGCAGTGATAAAAGTCCGATTCACGGCCTGGTTCTGGGGACAGATTTCACACTGAGCTGCTCAGGCTTCGTGCCCACAGCGGCGCTGCGTAGAACTGACCTCCCTTCCCCTCCTTCTGTCTGCCAGCAGCTCTACCAGATCCAGCAAGTGACCATGCCTGCAGGCCAGGACATCGCGCAGCCCATGTTCATCCAGTCCACCAACCAGAGCTCGGATGGCCAGGCCACGCAGGTGGCGGGGGACTGAGCGGCGTCCCTGAGTGGGGATGCAAACAGCTTCACCCGGCCTGGTCTGAGGAATGCGTTGCTTCTGCGTCTCCGTACTTGACAGTGAGCCTCCAGCAGGCTGCAGTCTCTGGTGCACCACACGCCTTCGTCTGGTGGGTATGAGAGCATATCCAGCAGACACCGACAAGAATGCAAGATTTTTATTTTTGGAAGTCCATGTTTCAGTGCGTTCAGCTCCTCGTTCAAAGCGAAACCGAAGGGGGCCGATGGAATTCGGAGCATCTCACTGAGCAGCGGTGAAAGGCTCTGACCTGGGGAAATGATTCAAGGTTTGCTGCAGGAGCTTCCTGCCTGGTGCCCCGTTTGTGTTTCTCCCCGAATAGAGCTAGGTTCAGTGCTGCCATCTCAGTGGTCTGTTACGGGTGGGAGGGGGGAGCGTGTCTGTGTGTTGGGTTGCCTCTCCTGCCTCCTTTTTTGGTAAGCCGGAGCATTGGATATATGCAGCAAGGGGGCAGGGAGTGGGGGCAGAGTAATTAAAGTGAAAACAAAAACATTCCTTGCATTATGACTGTGTTTTCTAAAGACAAAATGATTCTTGAATTTGACCTGGTTTATTCCAGAGATGCTGATGGCGTCCGGATGAACCCCAACCCCTGTTCACTGTGCTTCGGTCGATGCATGTAATATAAGCTTCCTCAAACAAAATAAATTCCCTTTGTAAGATAACGCGTGCCCTGTGGTTGAGAAGCAGAGCCTGGCATCAGCCTGGAGCCGCGGTGAGGAGCAGCGAGGAGCCGCGAGGAGCACGGCGGTACAGCGATGCTGGCGGCAGCACGGCCGGGCGGAGCTCGTGGCCGGAGCTCGGTGAGGTTTCGCAGCTCCTCATCGCTGTGTCCGCCGTCGGGGGGCGCGACGGCCTCGGTGCTGCGTCCCGGAGGGGCTCCGCTCTGTCGGCGGGGACGGCGGCAGCGCCGGCAGCTCGGCTTTGCTGCTGGTGGAGGTGCTGAGCTGGCCGTGCTTCGGCGGCGTGAGAGCCGGGAAACCGCGGCGTGAAGGGGGGGAGAAGCGCAGCGCCCGAGTGGAGCGGAGCGGGGGAGACGGAGGGGGGCGGGGTGGGCGCTCAGTGCGGGGAGCGCGGCCGCCAGGGGGCGCCCGTGGGCGGCTGCGGTTGAGCTGCGCGCTGCGAGACCCCCGGCTCAGCCCGCAGCAGCGCCGGGCTCTGCCGAAGGAAAACTCTTTCCCCCAAAGCAGCGGCGTGTGATGCGTTTGCTGGAAAGAGTTTAAATGTGAATGGGGGAAAAAAAGGAGGAAAGGATCCCTCGTGTCCTTCTGGAAAGGCAGGAAGGGGGGGTGAGGTGGTGCGGCTGAAGGGAGAGTGGTTTCTGTGGGAGCCCCAGCGGGGGATGCTGAGGATGCTGAGGATGCTGAGGATGCTGAGGATGCTGAGGATGCTCCCCACGCGGCATCGTCCCGAGGGCTGCCTGAAATCAGAGCTCTGCCAGCACTGTGAGCGCTCCGCTCTGCACAGGTAGCACTGGAGCTGGCAGTGTTCACACAGCTCGTAATGGAGATAAGGCATCCCAGAGCAGCGCCCTCACTGCCTCCAGCAGCAGCGCTGTTATGAAGATAGCTGAAATCGTTGGGCTGTCACAGGTACTGTAAACCCCAGGCGTTAATAAGAGCCAGATCTCCCATATAAGGCTGCGTGTGCTGCTCCGATCCTTTTGGTCCCCACTCGTAGGAGAAATGGTTTGGGACCCATTGGCTGCTTTCTAACCTTAAGCTGGGGCTCTGCCCCTCTCCTGGAGCTGGCAGAGCCTGGGCACGCTGCTGGGCGGCACACGCAGCACAACACAGCCGGCAGCCTCAGCTTTGGGTCTGAGCGCAGTGCAGCATCTCTGTCTGCCCCGCTCAGTGCCTCCCTCCCCAGGAGCAGTTTCTGCATCTCCTGGTTGGGATGAGCTCAGCACAGCCGCGGTGTGGGTGACAACGGGCAGCTGATGCTGGGGAAAGTTGCACTGTGCTGCTGACAGCTGCTGTGCCCCGGGGTGCACATCTCAGGCTGCCCTGCAGGAGGAAAACGCAGCTATGAAGGTCACAGTGCTTCCGAGGGCTCCGGGCACGATGAAGTGCTCTGTGACTCTGCCCACCACGGTGGGAAATGGGGTCCATGGGAGCACAGCTGATGTGGCTGAGGCCTTTCTGAGGAGCTCGTGCTCAGCTCTTCCCTTCCGAGCATCACAAGCTCTGGGGATCCTCGCCCAGGGGCTCTGCAGGACCTCGTGCTGCAGCACACGGCGCTGAGGCTGCGCTGGGCAGAACCAGAGACCACGCAGGCACAGCAGCTCAGGGTCTGCCTTCAGCCTCCCGTTTGCTGGAGCTCAGCAGCTCCAGGCTGGCTGCTGCCTGCCCTGGGCTGAGCCCAAGCCTCACACAGACGCAGGTGCTGCACGGCTCCTGCAGCTCCCAGCGCAGCATCCCTCACACCGTGGGGCTGCTCGCATCCTCCTCTGCACCACAGCAGCCCCAGGATCTCCCAGCACCCCCATCCAGGGCACCGACCCGGGGCTTTGCTCCGCCCCATCGCAGCCCCATCCCGCAGTGCCCCCATCCCACCCTCCCCCCCCCCCAAACCAGCAGCTCTGCAGCTGCATACCAGGGCTGCAAAACTTACTGGAAATCCTGTAGATGCAAATCCCGGCCTCCCATCCGTGCCAGGAATTTGAGCTGCAATCCCAAGAGGGCAGCAGGCTCCAGGCACGCAGGCCTCCCCGCTCTCATTGCCCAGCATCCGAAATGCTCTTTAAGGCCAGACTGGAGGAGGCGCTGCTCGCAGCCGCCTGCCGGCTTCCCCAGCCCCATTTCTGGGGCCGTGCCCGTTGATGGCAGCTGGCCGCCCGCAGCTCCAGCAGTGGCAGAGATGCCCCGCGTGTGCGTGCAGCTCGGCCCTCGGGAGCGGCTGCACCTGCAGTGCTGTGCAGCAGTGAAGGATTGCAGCGCTGGGGCGGCCTGGGTGCGATCGGCAGAAGCGAAACTCTCGCGATGGAAGCCTCAGGGAGGGCAGCGCTGGGCCGCGGCTCTGCTCCGTCCCTCTAATTTATGAGCAGCTCGCAGCGCCCAACAAACAAGTTGGAGGAGTGACGTCTGTGGTTAAAAAATAAATCAGTGGTTCTTCTTTGCTTCCAAACTCAGCTCTCCCGATGCTTCCCCAGCAAGACGTCGGCCGGGCAGCCCGTCCAGCCACAGAGCAGCAGCATGAAGCGATTCCCACCTCCTGTGAATAAATGCAACGGTTCCCCCTCCCCAGAGCCCTCCTTCAAGGGACCCCAGGCCCCGTCTGAGTCCTTTGGGGTCACCTTAGCTCTGCCCCTGCGCAGCCCCGAGGCTTCGATCCATCCCAGGTGAAACCCAACCCTGCAGAGCGCAGCCCGGCGCTGCACCGAGGCAGCAGTGAAGGTCAGGGAGCTCCACGGCACTGAGGGGTGCAGGGTCCTATTGGGGAGCACCGGGGGGGCTGCAGGGCTGCGGAGGGAGCTGGTTTGGGTTTGCACGATTTCAGCCTCTGCGGACACAGCTCTCATTGCTGCGCTGGGGTTTGTGTTGGCAGGGAGGCTCCTGGGGGGTGGGAGATGTTGGACGGGACCGTTTCCCCCCGTGCCCAAATCGACATAAGTGTCTATTTATCGTTTGTGCGCTTCCCTACACCTCCCAAATACCGCAGTGCTCACACGGGCGCACGCTGGTGCCAGGATCTCCAACCACGTTAAATAATTCACCGCCCCACGCCGTAACCGCTCTGCTCTGCGGGAGCTCAGGGCGCGCTGTGGGGCGGGGGCAAACGGCCTCTGGGGCGCGGGTCCGGCTGGGAGCGGGGCAGAGCGGCGGGGGAGCGAAGGGCGGGGGGTGGCGGCGCATCCGGAGCGCAGGAAGGACCGGATGCGCGTGGCCGAAGCGCTCCGTGCAGAGCGGCTCCGAGGGGCGTCGGGCACCGCAGGGTCGGGATGCTCGCTACCGGGATGCTCCGCACCCGCAGCTTTGGGAGGCTGCTCCCGGGATGCTCGGTTGTCAGGGATGCGCGTTGCAGGACGCTCCGCACCCGCAGTTCGAGATGCTCGCTGCCGGGATGCTCGCCGCCCCACCGCCCGCGACGCTCTGCAGCGTGGGACGGCCGCTCCGGGACGCTCCCCATCCCCGGGACCGCGCGCTCCCCGCCCGACTCGGGGTCAGCAGGGGCCCTCGGAGCAGCGTCACCCCGCGGGGATCCCCCTCCCCTCCTCCCCGGTCGGAGCCGCGCCCCCCGCGGGCGCCCATCGCGGCGGTGCCGGGGGCGGGGGCCAGGTGCTGCGGGGCGGGCCGAGCGGAGCGGCGGGGGAGGGCCCGCAGGGGCGGCTAAAGGCAGGTGGCGGCGGGCAGCGGCCGCGGGAGGGCGGGACGGATGGGACGGGACGGACGGGTCGAGCCGAGCGCTCCGCAGCGCGGGGCCATGCGGCGGGAGGCGGCGGGGCGGTGAGCGGGGCGGCGCGCCATGGCCGGGGCGGCGCGGAGCGGCGGGGGGCGGCGGGGGGCAGCGCTGACGGCGGTGCGCAGCGAGGACGGGACCCCCCCTCCCAGCGCTCCCCTCAACCGTCGGGGGGGACCGACGGCTCCGCGCCCCGCGGCCGCCTCCCGCCCCGCCGGGACCGCGCGCAGCTGCCGCCGCCGACTGCAGAACTGCCTCTACAACGTGCTGGAGCGGCCCCGCGGGTGGGCCTTCGTGTACCACGCCTTCATGTGAGTGCCGGCCGTGCGGGACCCCCTTCGCTCCCGGGGCGGGGGGCGGCGGTGCTTTTACCGAAGTTTTCCCGGAGGTCGAGGGGGGGATCCGGGCCGTGGGTCGGGAGGGTCCGTGCGGACGCGGCTGAGCCCCTGGAGCTCCTCCGAACGCGGCGCCCGTCGGTCACCGTCCCGCTCCGGCCCCGTCCCGTCCCGGGTTCCCGGCGCGGGGGGAGACCCAAAAATGAGAGGAGGAGACTCGGGAGGGGTCGGGGTAGGACTGGGGGTTGGGGGCAGCGGGGGAAGCACGGCGAGACCCCGCCTGCGCCCGTGGGGTGGGGACGGCGGCTTTGGGTAACGCCGTGGGGACGCCGTGGGGCTGCGGTGCCCGGAGCTGCGCGTGAAGGGTGGCAGCGGGCACCGAAGCCCGGAGCGTTACGAGCCCGGCGTTACGGCATCGCCCTGTGGACCGCGATGCTCCGGGCTCACGTCCGCTCCCCGCCGCGCGTCGGGCCGCTCCGACAAAGCCGAGCCGTGCGTGCGCCGATTGTGCCGGGGGTCCGAACCGCTCCGGGCGGCTGCGGTGGCACGACGGGGTGATGCGGGGAGATGCTGCCGCTCCTGCCCGGCCGTGCCGTGAGAAAGGCGGCCGCTTTGGAAAGTGGGTCTCGCCGAAGTGCGCGCACGGAGCCGTGCGGGCCGCCCGTCACCTGATCGCCGCGCACCTGAGCTCCCCGGGGAGCTGCGCTGCTCCTCACACCCCCGCGCTGTGCTTCGGAAATAATACCTGCGCTGCAAACGCTGCCCTCGAAAGATCTGTAATTAAGGATGGCAGCTGAAACCCCATGGAAAGAGAGGTGGGGGGGTCGGGCTTTTGGGTGCTCGCCGGGCTTTGGCACAGGGATCCTCCTCGGTGCTTTTTCCCCAGAAACAACCACGCAGCGCTGGATGTGAGGTGCGCGTTGGGTCGGTGG